GGCATACTTCAAAACGTTGTGCGCGCGATGTCCTGGAATGCAATGAACGGAACCGTCACACGCCTGGCATACTCGCTACATCAATCGCAAGACCACAACTCAAACATACATGCAACCGATCAAAACACCGAAACGTAAAGGCTGCAGTCCGTTCCAAGGGAAACAGCTTCAGCGAAGCTTACGCATAAACCCTAAACCACTATCAACGCCAGAAACCGTAGCAAATATCAGCAGCAACAGATATACCACAAATCTACCTTGCACGCAACTCAATATCCGCTTCTACACAACCTCCAACGCTAAACGCCCTAAGTGTAGGGATTGTTCAAAACGTTGATGACTGCGATGTCCTCGAATGCTATGAGCTGAACCGTCGCACGCCTCGCGTACTTCCTGCACCAATCGCAAGGCCACAACTCAAACATACACGCCACCGATCAAAACGCCGGATCATAAAGCTTGCAGTCCGTTCCAAGGGAAACAGCTTCAGCGAAGCTTACGCATAAACCCTAAACCACTATCAACGCCACAAACCGTAGTAAACATCAGGCACAGCAGATATCCGACAACTGTACCACCCACCCAAAATCAACATCTACCTCTCCGCAACCTCCAACGCTAAGCCTGCTTAACCTAATTGTAGGGATAGGTCAAACGGGTTTGCTCGCCATGTTCTCTAATGCTACGAACTGAACCGTCACACGCATGGCGTACTCGCTGCATCAGTCGCAACGCCACAACTCAAACATACACGCCACCGATCAAAACGCTGGATCATAAAGGCTGCAGTGCGTTCCAAAGGAAACAGCTTCAGCGAAGCTTACGCATAAACCCTAAACCACTATCAACGCCACAAACCGTAGCAAATATCAGCCACAGCAGATATACCACAACTCTACCATCCACCCAAAATCAACATCTACTTCTCCACAACCTCCAACGCTAAACGCCCTAATTGTAGGCATACTTCAAAACGTTGATGACTGCGATGTCGTCGAATGCTATGAGCTGAACCGTCACACGCCTGGCATACTTCCTGCGTCAATCGCAAGGCCACAACTCAAACATCCACGCCACCGATCAAAACGCCGGATCATCAAAGCTGCAGTCCGTTCCAAGGGAAATAGCTTCACCGAAGCCTACCTATAAAACCTAAACGACTATCAATGCCAGAAACCGTAGCAAATATCAGCAACAGCAGATATACCACAACTCTACCACGCACGCAACTCAACATCTGCTCCTGCACAACCTCCAACGCTAAACGCCCTAATTGTAGGCATACTTCAAACCGTTGTGCGCGCGATGTCCTGGAATGCAATGAACGGAACCGTCACACGCCTGGCATACTCGCTACATCAATCGCAAGGCCACAACTC